GGGGGGCGAGGTAGAGGGTGAGGGGTGGAGAATTCGACATGTATATACACAGAGAAGCGAAACAACCGTGCCGAGACACGTCCACAGTTCCAAAGCCCCCTCCGCTGCCGTTGTATCCCACAGCAGCGGTAACGACGTAGGGTAAGGGGACTCCATGTACGGCGTACAACACACACACTCCTTACCTCTGGCATGCTGGTGCTTGGAATGGCCACACAGGTGTCATTGCTCCGCACGTACCCGTAGTCGCACTCCGTGTCCTGAGTACATACATACAGAAGCACAAACGCACATAAGAACATACATACATACATACATACATACATGCATATACATAAAGAATGCCAAGCGGATTCTAGGTTTCGGGCGGCGGGTGGGACGGACACACAGAGGCGGTTGGTTACTGCAGTGCGACCGTTAGGTAACCGAATGAAAACCGACGAAGAGGTAATATACATGGTTATTGTTGGACCACCCTCGACCACCACCTATTCCATCATCACCACCATCCGAACCCCACCACTGCCCAGCAATTGACCGACCCCATCGCCGACCGACCCACCAATTGCTTTGTGCAATTGCATGTGCCCCGCACAGCAGCCTCAGGCCGCTTGTAGTCCGGACCGTTGAAGCACTTGCTGTCCTGCTTGCGGCGAGTGTAGTCCCTCTGCTCGCCTGTTCATAGCGGGAAGGGGGGGGAGAGTTCGGAGTCTTGAGGGGGGAAGGAGGGAAACTTGTCATAGTAATGCAAAAGAAAGGTGATGCAAAGGAGGAGATGGAGGGCGGAAGGGGGAAGCATGTGCAAGCGTACAGGTAAGAATACATGAGCACACAGACACACTCGAGGCCCCCTGGTTTCGGAGCGGTCTTAACCGCGGTTTTCCTCGGCGGATAGTTCAGCTCTGTGGTGGGCCCGAGAGCTTTCTCCGGGTCCCTCGAGGGGTTGGGCGGGGGGGGGGGCCGGAAGACTGTGACGAAATGTCCGGGGATACTATCACCCACATGAGCATGCAATTAACAAGCATAGACTATATATATATATATACATAGCGACATCAATTCAGACAGACAGGCAGACAGACAGATAGACAGACCGTTATAGTAATCAGCCGCACTCCCCTAAATTTATACACCCTTCACTACTAACCTAGCACACATTTCCTGCCAGTGCCGTTGATGGTGGGCTGCCACCAGGTCTCAAACTCGGTGTTAGGGTTGCACACAGGCCAGCCGATGAGATCCTTCACCTTCAGCGCGTACATAAGGCCCTCGGTACCTGTTGGGGAGGGGTCGGGGGGGGGGAGGGGGGATCAGGGGTTGGGGTTTCGAGTGGTGTGTCCGTGTGTCTCTGCGTGCGTGTATCCATGGGGATATAGTAGACGTTACAATTAATGTGAATGGGCGCGGATCACACGTAAAAAAGGGTACGTGTTACTCATATGTCGTACAGCATATCATCAACCGCCAACCACCACCACCGCAGATGAGAAATCTGCAGAAATCATCATCAAGTAGGACACAAATGTCAAACGTCGCGACAGACGACCACGCTGCATCCCATGCAATGGTGGCGCTTATGGTGGTTATGGTGTCTAGTATCCTGGAGGGTATATCACGGGATCTGCATCCGCCGATCGGTGTACTTTTCTGAAAAGTCGTGGTACAACATGGTGGTGACGAGGGATGGGCGAAGGGCGGGTCCACTCACCGGTTGAGATTGAGTGAGTCATTCTTCGGGGCCCTGCCGTGGATGATGACGGTGGGCCGCTGTCCATCCGGCTCTATGCGGATGTTGTCCACGTAGATCGGCTTCTCCAACTTCACTTTCTGCGGAGGGGGGGAACAAATGCGATGAAGTGAGAAGTGAACTGCCGGCGGGGGGGGGGAAGAAGGGAGGGAGGTTTGGGGCGGGGGTTTGAGCGGGACAGGCGGGGACGAGGAGCCATAGGAGTGACAGAGGGGGAGGGGGTTAAGATGGGCGAGCCCTGGAGGCAGGGTACGACACACACACATACACACACAGGGCGCACCACACAGAGGAAACACCAGGGATGGGTGCCTCCACAAGGTCACGCCCCCCTCCTCCCCCTCGCCCTCCCCGCCGGGCTCCACCCACCTCCCAGCAGCGGCCATAGTCCATGGAGAACATCACCTCCTCTGTCGTACCGGATGCCGTGTACCGCTCCAGCCCGGGGTACTTGGCCATCACGATGACACCCCCCCAGTCCGCGAACTCGTAAATGTACGCCCCCTCCGCCACGTCCTCCCACGTCACACCGCCATCACGAGACAGCCACGTGCACAACCTGTACGATGTGTTGGACAGGGGGGCATATATCTTCACCCCTGGCAGCTACCCGGCGAAACCCTGCCTTCCCCGGTATTATTTCGGGGCACCCTCATCTAGTCACCCTAGTCAATTTCTCAGTGGATCGCTCAGGTTCCGCACCCACCACCAGCATCCAATGAAATCTGCCGGGTCGACAGCGGCCCAACTCCATTCCTGGTCAGCTCGCGAGTCCCAGGTCACCACCGTCCATCGACTAGGGGCACTCTCACCTTCCTTTACCCAATCGGATGGAGCATGTACGTATGTATGTATGTATCTATGTGTACATGCATGTCTGTCTATGTATGCGATACGGTATGGCGGACACCCAAGTACAGGTTGTTTAGAGCACGCGCATGTTTGTTTGCCGTACATATCCTCATCAAGATCACCCCCGCAACGTTGAGGTTACTGCAATGACACCACACCAAACACAACTCTTATAATCCCTTTCCCCCAGCTTTCCCTCACTCCCCAGGGCCCCCCCCCCGTTCCTCACCCCGGACTAGTCTGGTCCAGTCCCGAACCCAGGCTAGCCAAATTGCCGGTGGCCATCACCAGCCCGGGCGCGGAGGTGCTCGAGTACACCCCGGGCAGCACCACACTGAACTCGTTGGCCGCCCCCATGCCGTTGAGATGCAGGTACCAGGGCGCCGGGCCGGTGCCCATGCAGCGGGGGTGGCGGACGCGGGAGGCGTCCACGCGGATGCGCTGCCACCGGCCACCTGCGGCGGGAGAGGGGGGAGGGGAAGACGAACCACGAGCGAGTGAAGGGGGGCCATGACTGGGGGCGAGGGAGATAAGTGAGGAGAGGAGGTGGTAGGGGCGGCGGCGGGTTGGGGGTGGTAGGGAGGGAAGGAAATATCCACAATAACAACAACAATCACAGTCATCATCACAACCACCACCGCTACATCCACCACCAATCCAAGCACGAGTTCCCCATATCGGATTTCCTCTTTCCCCCCCCCCCCCAGCCTCTCACCGGCGCTGTACGTGATCCGCGTCTCGATCAGCGGCTCCCCCATCAGCTCGGAAAGGTCGTAGTAGGGGTCCCCGTAGTAATCCAGGTAATCGCCCGTCATATCGGAGGGCATCATTCCCCCGCCTCCCCCCGTGGGATCCGTGGAACCTGTACTGCCGTCCGTGGAGGGGTACGGCACCACCTGGTTCGTAATGTAGATACCCTGGAGGCCGGGGGGGGGGGAAGGGAGGGGAGGAAGAAGGGGGGGGAGGGTTGTAGTGGGTGAGGGAGGCGAGGGGCAGCATTTTCTCCCGTGTCTTTTTCTTGACATTGGCAACTCTGATCCCTCCCTCCATAAGCCTCGTCTTACCGGCAGCCCCTCAACCCGAGTGAAGTCCGCCGTGGCTGCAAGGGAGCCCTGGAACACGTTGGTCAGGCTGAGAGAGAACAGCGCGTGGTGGGGGCCCGCCGCGTACACAGACGCCGCGGACATGGGCATCATCATGCCGCGGTCCACACTGTAGTCAACGATGATCAGAGCGCCGCGGCCGTCGTGCGTCTCAACCAACTCATAACCGTCTTGCTGCGCGCACACGTACACACATATACACGTGCGTTTGGGTGGGGGCGGATTGAGGTATGTGTGTGGGATTGGGGAGAGAGGGTAATTCATGCAAGGATACATATGCAAGGATCAAGTGCAGACAACTGCCAACGTCCAAAAGGGGTTTGACCAGGTGCGGGGTATTGGGGTTAAGGGTTTTAGGACACACACACACACGAGTTTCTCAGACACTGCCCGCGGCGCTTCATGCAAAGTTCACCTTCTCGACACGCGGCATGTACGACATGGACAACACTGGACATGCACGCAGATTGTACACACGCACATACATACATACATATGCACGGGCAACTACAAGTCACACCTCCAACACATGCGCGGCTCAGGCCCTCTAGTAAAAGATATATCTGCATCCGCACCTTCCGTGCCGAGGTTAGGCACTACTAGGTTAGGCACTACTGGTAATGCACACACCGATGCTCCCGGAGGTTACGGGATCGAGACCTGTCAGGGTCGAAAATCCTTCCGATTGGGTAAAGGAAGGTATAGCGCCCCTAGTTGATGGACAGTGGTGACCTGGGATAACGTTGACTTCCGAGCCGACCAGGAATGGAGTTGGGCCGCTGTCGACCCGGCAGATTCCGTTGGGTGCTGGTGGTGGGTGCGGAACCTGAGCGATCCACTGAGAAGTTGACTAGGGTGACTGGATGAGGGTGCCCCGAAATAATACCGGGGAAGGCAGGGTTTCGCCGGGTAGCTGCCACGGGTGACGATATACCCCCCTGTCCCACACACACACACATACATACATACATGTACACACGCATCCTCACCTCCAGTGCCGCCGGCAGGCAAGCCCTCACAAAGTTGGCACCCCCATCAACGGAGGTGAAAAGGGTGATGTAGCTGCCGCTACGGGAGGCGGGCATGGCCCTGAGCCCGGACCAGGACGAGTAGAAGTCAAGATCCCCCCGGGGGGGGAGAGGGGTTTGGGGTTTTTAGTATGTGTGTATGTATGTGTGCATGAATGCGGGAGGGTATATTTGCATATGTATATGAAACTACATATTGTACAATATATGTACGACATATGCCTGTAGTGCACACGCAGGCACACGCACACATCCACATGCGGAGATCTGTTACTCTACTTGATTGCAGATTGCAGACAAAGAACTACTACCGCGCCCCCCACCGCACCTTCTCGCTCCTCTCCCCCCACACACACCGCACCCCCACCCAGCGCCCTCTCAACCCACCCACGGCAGAGCCCCCTTCACCACACACGCCGAGCAGTTCAACCCTACCAACCCAAACCCCCAAACCCACACACACACCTCACACCCCCGACCCACCCACCCACCCACCTGCCATCCGGGCTCCTCTCGCAGCTGTTAGCCACCGCCAGGTACACCGACCTCCCCACCACCTCCAGCTGGTTGCCGCAGGGCACCCGGACTTCCCAGCTGTCGAACAAGTTGGTGGATGTCACCAAGCTGATGTCCTTGTCCCACGTGTGGTCGTAATCCTCAACGTTGAAGTAGACCGTGGCTAAGATGAGGTCGTTGGAAATGTTCTGGGAGAGGGACGGAGGGCATATGTGGTGCATATGTATATATATTATGCATGTACGTATGTACGTATATACGTATTCGTATATGTATATGCATGTGTATATGCATATGTAAATGTATATGCGGAAGGGCCGGTAAGAGGCGAGTTAATGGCAAGGATGGTGTGTAGTTGGGTGGATACGGTGGGTGACGTGATAGCGGTGGGCGAATGGTCCGTTGGATTAGTTGGTAGGTAGGTAGGTAGGAACGGCAAAGGTATGTCGGACGGACATACATACATGACCGTGTATCCGTGCGTCGTGATGAGAGACAGACATTAACCATATGTGAACATTCAAGACGGGAGGTGGAAATATATTACAGTGTACAAATGTACATGTGCAAGATACAGAAGCGACCCCACGACCATGTAACAACAACAACAACAACATGTGCAAGATACAGAAGCAGCATAGAACCAGCAGCCGAGAAAGGGTGTGGAGACAGGACAGGGGCCCCAAGCAGATGGAGCTGTGTGCGTGTGTGTGCGTATGTGTGTATTTGTAATGCCGTACCGGCAGGTCCGGGCAGTTATTGTCGGGGCAGAGATTGGCTCCCCAGTCGAAGTCCACGAATCCAGCTATTTTGCCGCCGGTGACGTCCGTCAGATTGCGCCACGGGGAACTCGGATCGAATACGTTCTGTGTGTACGTATGTATGTATGTATGTGCATGAGAGGGAAGGGGGCAATGGGTTACAAGGAGAGGCACACAAACTACGCGTGGGGAAACGCAACATACACAAAAGCGATTTGGATCACCAAACGCATCTACCAAAGTGAATCCACGGTCCCCCAAAATTCATTCCTCCAAAATACTGTACCACTCACCATTTTTCCATCAATGATACCTTCCCACCCCATGAACACCGCCCCACCCCACAGGCGACACCCCACCCCATCACCTTCCCACCCCGCCATCACCCCCCCAACCCAACCCACTGCTCCATCACCACCTCCCCGCTCACCGTGTTCACCAGGAGGTCCCTCGGGCAGTCCAAATGGACCCTCTCCTTGACCCTGCACGAGGCCCGCTTCACATGGAGCAGCAGCGAGGTGTCATTACGAGGGTTGAACCGGAGGTCCCGAATGTAGACCCCAAGTACACCGCCAGGGTACGACACGTTTCTCAACGTCTCCCCCTTGTCATTAGATATCCTGTGTCGTGTGGGCGAAATGAAAGTGAGAGAGGGGGAGGATGGGGAGGAAGGGGACGGGTAAAGGGAACCATTGACGATAAAAGGGGGGTGAGGTATTGAGCTAGGTGACGTTGATGATAATCATGCAAAGTAAATACTCAAACCGCCGATGCGTTCAAAAGCAGCGCCGGGGGGAGGTGAGAGGGAGGTGAGGGGGGCAGCGCATACACACACGTATGCCCTCTTTCCCTCCACTCCCCGCCCGCCCGCACCAACCCACCACATAGATGATCCAGTTCCCATGAACAACATGTTGTTAGGGTTTGATTTCTGGTGGAAAACTTTGAAGATGCTGAAAGTCTCCGAGGAGTCCGCTGCGCGGGGGGAAAAAGGAGAGGGAAAGGAACGGTATCAAAAAGCGGCAGAATGTTGGGGCACTCTTTGAGCTGGAGGGGCTCGAACCCGGTCTACAACCCCCCGGCCCCATTTCTTCCGCTCGGAGGTGCGCACCGACAAGCTTTGGCGTGAACTCGTCAAAATTCGAGCCTCCGTCCTTTGAGCGCCAAAGGCCGCCTTTGTCCGTTTTTACATTGTAAGTCATCGCGAAGACCGTCTGTGGAGTGCAAGGGGGGGAAAGGGTTCAAAATGACCTCTGAACACCTTCGTGGCCAGCCGAAAGTCTCGTACAAATACCCTAAAGTCGGCATCTGATGCTGCTGGCTGTGTCTAAATGAAGTCCCTTACCTGGTCATCGTCACCAACCCACTCTAGGTCCTCCACCGGTGCGCGCGTTTGGGTCTGCAGTCACACCCATCAGAATGCTTTTGATTTATTACTGTAAACCCAAGCTGGGAGGCCGTCTCGGGACCTTGTTCTATCAAGAACGGGATAACTGCAGCCTCACCGCTTTCAGAGGAGTGCTTGGAATACTTAATGGCTGGCATTGAAACTCCTGCAGGCTTCGTCCATGATCCGTGAAACCGTAGGTTGTGGCCGCCAGGCCGATGACCAAAAGCATAATAACGAAGGTGGCCATGGTCTTTGTGATAGCGCGAACTATATCGCACATGCAAGACCCTAACCTGCCATGCTAGTCAAATATTGCTACGGTATATCCTGGGAGGAAGGTGTACTGACAACAGAAAGCAAATTAGCTGGGGGAAGGTACGGCCATGTACGAAACGCGGCACAAAACCGCAACCCTAATGCAGCGACCATATGCTCATGCGGTCGTTAGGGGTGCAAGCTACAACTTCGTCAAAATGCCAACGTAGCCAATAAACTGCAGTTAACATTCTTCCCTTGGCACACCCCACGACTGCTTGCCTTTGATTAGATCACACCTTTCTTTTTCATAGCACCTGTACGCGAATTTTTCTGTTTACGCCATGGCAGATGATGGAGAGACAGCCACCGTTAAGGAGCCCCTAGACCTTATTCGTCTTAGTCTTGACGAGCGTATTTATGTGAAGCTGCGCGGCGAACGTGAACTCCGCGGCAGACTGCATGTACGTCCGGTTGCAGCCAAAGGCATCTTAGCACTTCATCGTCTCCCGCCGGCGACTGGCGTTCACAAAGTTGTGTATGCCAGATCATTGAATACCTCTCATGTAACTCTTTCGACACATAATTATTGGGTATACTGTATGGGCTATTTCATACTCTGCGGTGTCTGCTGCCTCGGTCCGATCCTCGTTGCTCCACCTGGATCCCTACACGACATGACGTTGCTTTGTGCCGCAATCCCTCCAGAACGCATCTGTTCCTTACTGGAATGCCCTCGTGGCAGCCGCTCGGTGAACGGTTTCCCGCAGTCTAGCCCTCCTCCCCCCCCTGTTTGCGCCGTGTGCCTGTCGTGACGGCCGTGTATGCACGTCGCTCCACTCAGTTCCTGAACACTCCGCAGCAGTCGCCTCAAGGTGCTTACCTTTGCACCACGGAGTTCCACCCCGGAGACGGCATTCGATACTCCAGGGGGGCGTAGGTAGACTCCACCTCGTCGTCACTGCGAGCGTCTATGTTAACTGCCCATCTGCCGTCTCGCTGCTGCCTCCCGCTTACCCCGCCAGGCCTACGACCAGCACCTCAACATGATCTTGGGGGAGGTGGAGGAAACGCTGACCACTGTGGAGATCGATGATGAAACGTACGAAGAAATCATCAAGGTGGGTGATCCTCCGGGTCCTGTCCCTCCCTGGCGCGGTGGCGATGCCACCGTATTGCTATCAACAAACCTACCACAAACGTAGCTAATGGCAGCAAAATTACGCTGAACCTATGTCTACGGTGTTGGCGAAAAGATCCAGTATCCGTTTGATGAAACCTACCTTATTGGAGCATGCGGACGGTGGGTCCCTCGCAACCTGGAGGGAGGAGCCAGTGAGCAGCCAGTGGGCAGTGGCGCTCAAGGGCCCTTGGCACTGGCTTGAGCACGTCCTTTGGTCGCAAGCTGCGCTAGCCACAATGGGCATATTGATATTCCAACTCCAGATTGGCTGAGTAGTATGCGTAGAAGTGAACGATGTATGAAAGGAGGTTTTAGAGAGAGCATCAAGGGAGGTTTGGCATGTTGGTAAGGGCCCAAAACGATGGACCCAAATGCGTCAAGTCGACGTTCTGGGTTCATTGCATGGGGAGGCTCACGGCTCAGGGATATAGGATCAGGACCCGGTGAAGTGATCCGCTTGGGGATGACAGACTAGACATAGAAGACAGCTTGGGTTTGGTTGACTGCTGTGCACAAGGACCTGCAAATCACCCTGTCAGGCGCCTGCCTCTCCCGGCTGTTCCCTGCCCCACAGACGCAAAAGCGGGTCATTCCCTTCCTGTTCGTGCGCGGCGATGGAGTCATCCTGGTGTCGCCGCCTCTTAGATCCTAGGCTGCCGTCCGCATCGCGGCTGCGCCGTGCTCCTGTCACCGGCGGCTCCATCGCTGCCAATGCGGCCCCCTTAATAGATATGGAAAGGAGCCCTGTGGCGTAAGATCTTGGCGTAAGGAGCGTTGGGTCCCTGAAGCTCCTGAACATTGCTGTTAGTGCAGGCAACATCTGACACGGCGAAACAGCCTTGCCGGGAGTGCAGCTGCTTCAGGCCTTTGCCCGCGGGAGCAGTACTACCCGCACCTGATGTTGCTGCTACAGGTGGAAGCAGCTGTCGCCATGGGAACCATGACCCGCATCAATCCGCTTATTGGCATGGGCCTGGGATATAGCGGGCAACCTAGTCCAAGAAGGCGCCGGCGCAAAGCCTGGCTCGCTTCGGGGTTACTTAATGGCGCTGGCTCCATCTAAGGGACGCCGTCCTGCCGTGCTAATCCAGCTACCGCTGCAGCCATTTTCTCGGTGCTGCAGCCCGCCGGTACTGCAGGCCGCCGTGTTACGCCCAGGCGCGAAAGCGACCTCTGCAGATCGACATCTTGGCCGGGGCGCCTGAGGCTAGTAATGCCGTGGGAAAGGGAATGTGGGAGCGGGGTTTCCAAGCTGTGGCTCAAGTAGCCCTAGGATGCCGCGGGCGTGACCTGCACTCCCCAGGGAGACCGTCCGGTGAGCGAGGCCCGGTGCTCTGATTGTAGTTTCGGGTACTTGAACGGACAAGCACGCAACGACATCGTGGCTATGAAACCACGCCGCGGTGGTGTACACGTCCAGTAGGCCAAGACCTAGCCTTAGTGTGGCAGCGTTGAGGAGCTCGGTGGCTGCATAGGACCTCCGGGTCAAGTTGATCGGTCCTTGGCCGTGGCGTCTTGCTGAGGTTAAAGCTGGGATGAAGATAGCGTGACGCAGGTGCAGGCCCTGGCCAGGCTGTGCACTTCCTCGCCTACATCGTGAGTACGCCAATCTTTTAATGCGCGCTAATCCACGTTCTACACGGAGCCGCATGTTGGCTTGGCGGTATGCTTCTTGATATGAAGAACAAAACAGTAAGGTAATAGTAAGCATGTTTTATAGAATGATGTTTGCTGCGGCGGTTACCCGCGTTCTGTGTCTGCCGGTATGGGGCGGCCACGAAAGTGGGCTCAAGGGAAAGTTGGGCATGAGGAGTACCTCTGTCCTGGCAGCTCTTGTGAAATGCAGCGGAGTCCGGACCTCCTGATTGAAGTTGTGAGGTGGTTAAATGGGTAATGAAGTCCCGATACCGCCCTTGCGGAAGCACTACGTGCATCGACACGTACATTTGACGCTGATGTGGGATGGTGGCATCACTGGAAGGTGTCAATGTTAGCAGTGCAGGGAAGCGAGGAGTGTCTTAAAGCAGTCAACGCCCGGGCAGCGTATCTGGTTCCTTGGCATTTTCAGGGCCGTGATAAATGATTTTCCCAGGTCCTTTGTCGGCTTTTTCTGGCCTCTATCCCTGGTGGTCTGGTTCTCTATCCGGTCGGATTTCACTGTAACGCATCCATTTCTTCGATACGCCTAGGGTCGCTTCTCGGGCCTTTCCGAATAATTTCCTAGGGTCCCCTAGGACCCTTCTGCATCCCAGGCCCGGCTGAGCCTGGTTGAGCTGCAGAAGCAGCTGAGCATGCGCGATGGGAAGACAACCACTGACTTCATTCAGCAGGCAGAGCAGCTCTGTAGCAATATAATTGTGGCCAGCGGCCAGTGGGACGAGAGCACGATGCACCACGCCATTCTCCATGGCCTGCCTCCGCAGTGCACCATCACCGTCGAGTTCACGATGTATCAGCCCAACTTAAAGAACCCACAGCTCGTGCTCATGCTGCGTGAGAAGGAGAACAACCTTAAGACCCAAGCAAGCAAGACCAGCCTGGTGGGAGCTGTCGGCCCTGGCCGTGCTGCCAGTGGAATCGGCAGCACCGCTGGTGCTGCAGGCACCGTGGGGGCCGGCGACACCTGTCATTACTGCAGACAGCCTGGTCACTATGTTCACGAGTGTCCCATAAAGCAGGTGGATGAGTCCGTCGGCCTTCACCGCAGCAACACATTCGAGCAGCTGCACGCCACCGGCAACATCAGTTGAGGCAGCTGCAACCGCCACTGTGACGGTGGCGGCAGGGGCACTGGCAGCGGCAATGGCGGTAACAGCAGGGCCGACGGAGCACGTGAATGTGGCCGTGCTCGGTGCGGCAACAGCCACCATGGCGACACTGCAGGCGGCAGCAATGGCAGCGGCTCGGGCAGCAGCAGAAGCAGCTCACGCCAGAGCCGTGCCCCAGTGCTGGTCATCGACCGCAGTGGAAGCAGCTCATGAGTCACCCTCGACTCAGGCTCACCATACTACCTCACGGGTGACCGCTCCTGCTGCACAACCATGTCCCCGCCGGCGCGCCACGGCTAATCGGGTGGGGCAACATGTCGTGGGAACAGGGAAGCTGCACCTGCATACTCGTGATGGACACAATGTCCGGCTGCACAACGTGCTGCATGTCCCCAGCTCGGGCCTCACCCTGACATCTGTCGACCTCATGAGAGGTCGACAGACCTCATGACACGCGGCTACTCAGTCATGTTCAGCATGGACAAGACGGGCTGCTGGTTCTCATGCATCAGCCTCCTGCACAACAGCCCGTCTATAACCACATGGAGTGAGCATGGATGTGGACCTGCAGGTGCCGACCGACATCACCGTCAATGCCCTCAGCACCACGGGCGACAGAGCTGGCGGGGCCCAGGCTGCAGGTAGCAGCGCTGGCGGTAGTGCCGCCACCATCACCAGCACCCGTGGCGGCAGCACCGCCGGCAGCCACACCAGTGGAGGCCAACTGAACGGTGACAGCAACGGCAAAGGGCAACCAGGCAACGGCAGCCCCGGGGCCACTGAATGCTCAGTCACCGAACTTGCGGCAGCACAGCGCCTGTACTGCCAGTATGGTCACCTCGGTTACCGCGTGCTGAAGCAGCTGATCAGCAAGCAGCTGATGCAGGGACCACAGGTCACTCCAGAGGCACTATGACAGGCGGTGGAGGCCGTCTGCGAGGCCTGTGACACCGTGAAGGCCACCACAACCGCCCACCCCAGCCGCAGCAACCGGCCGTAGCACGCACTGGAGGTCGTACACTCTGACCTGTGCAGGCCCATTCCGACCACGGGCCGAGGGGGCGCACGCTACTTGCTGACGCTGCTGGATGGTGCCACTGGTCTGTCCACCGTCCACACGCTGGCCAGCAAGAGCCAATGGGTGAAGTGCTGCAGGACATGGTGACGCAGCTGGAGGCCCGCCACCCAAACCATGCACGGGTGCACACGCTGCACAGCGACAAACGTGGCGAGTACGTCGCCAAGCGACTGGAGCAGTGGCTGTGCCAGCATGGCACCGCACACACCCACTCGGCACCGTACACCCCAGAGCAGAACAGAGCGGTGGAGCGACTCAACCACACACTCTTTGACCATGTGCGGGCGATGCTGCATGACACAGCACTCCCGGTCAGCTACTGGCTGGAGCCTGCACTCTACACCAATCTCCTGCGCAATGTGGTCCCCTCTCAGGGCCGGGAGGCCACACCGTGGGCAGCTTATCATGGCGTCCCCCCCGACGTCAGCCACCTCTACACCTTCGGCTGCCTGGCCTACATCCACATCCCAGCCAGCCAGCAGGACAAACTCAGTCCTCGTGCAAAGGCGGGAACCTACCGCTGACCGGAGCACGGCATGGCCACCCACCGTGTCCTCGTCGAGGGCAAGGTGACCGTGAGCAGTGACGTCACCTTCGATGACAACCGCCACGGGCCGGTTCACAACGGGCGGGCACCCTCTTCGGCACTAGCCCCGTCTGCCCCGGCGGCAGTGACCCCATCAGCGGCTCTACACCGCCCGCCATGCTGCCAACCCCAGTGGCTACCCCACCCCCGGCGACCCCAACACCACCCCTTCCATCACAACACCCGCAGTCAACGGCAGTCCCTGCACGTGCCACAGCCCCGGTCAGTGACGGCCTGCCAACCCGACAGCAGCAGCAGTGGCGGCGGCGGAAAGTCGGGAAATCCACCGCTGCTCGGGTGATAGTGCTGACAGCGCTAAGTCTAACATGCCCGACGGCAGCAGCGGTGGCGGAGGCAACAGTGCGGCGCACACTGCCAACGACATGCTGGTGACGGCAGACAACCTGCAACCTGCCCAGTTTAAATGGGGGGGACTAACGGCTCACCTCGACTTTAATCACAAATTTAGATGCTTAATTCTCCATACTGACATTCTCCTTACACTTCGTCAATTGCTTATACTTTACTGTGCAACAAC